TGAAAGCACAAAAGTTTATAAATCCATGAGGTGTATAGCACGAGCATACTTCGCTCTTACATGTTCTACCATCTGTTTACAATGGTGTTGGGACACGCAGGCTCGTGCTTCTGATACAATATGTTCCAGGAACTGGATCCTCCATTCCGTTTTGCTCAGCACACCAGATGGATCCCCTCGAAGCATTTCGGAGTATCGCTGCTTCATGGCTTTCTTCACATGGGACTTGATGACACTCCATATACCTTCAATTGGGTTCAGTGCAGGCGAATACGGTGCAAGTCGCAGGAGTTTTCCGGATGAGTAAGGCGCTTCCTGGAAAACGCGTTCCAGATCAGTGTGGCACGGTGCGTTGTCACATATAAGCAGGCACTTGTTAGTAACAGCTGCGCCGTTGGCATCAAGCATTTGACGCAACCACCGACTGCATCTCTCTTTGTTGTAACTGCCTCTTAGTACAGAGTACCCCAGAAGTCCGTCTGCAGTCATCGCACTGACAAGATGTAGATTTTGGCCACGAGCACTCGCGACCGTACACTGCGCACGGCAGCCACGTGCTGAACGGCCCCTTGTGCGAGCACAAAACAGGTTGAAGTTCGTTTCATCAAACCAAACTGCTTTGTAACCTTCGGCTTCCAGATTCATCAGTCGCAGGACGTACGATTTCCTTCGCTTCTTGTTCTCAAGCGTATTCATGGACTCCGGTATTGAATGCAGCTTTTTCATGGTTATGAACCGACCGTCTAAGTATCGAGCCACGGTACTGATGCACACCTCCACTTCGAATTCCACCTTCAACCGGAAACGAAGAGTTTCTAATGTAACCGTAGGTTCCGATTCAACCCATTCCACTAGACAATCTACGTGACTCTCAGTCAGTGACTTTCGACGTGCACCGCCATGTTTTCCTCTATGTTCGTGCGATTCCAATCTTCTTATCCAAGTTCGGCAGGTTTTCAGGTTTACTTGTAAAACAGATGCAACCTGCTTCCAATCATCACCTACTTCATAGGTACTCAGTATTCTGGCTTTCACTTCTGCCGAATGGCGCATTTGTCTGCCTTCTCTTACCATAGCCCGTAGGTTAAACTAAACGTTAACTTGTTATACGTATGATTACCAACCTGCAGTATCCTCGTTCCAAAAGGCCCACGAAAGTCAAAAAAGAACACAGAGACTCGTCCCAAAACAGACGTAGTTCCAAACCAACCCACTGGGCGTCAACCGTGGTCAGGTCACTTTATACAGTGTAACGTGGACTGGCCAATCGAAGTGGACGACGGACGCACGGCAACTTGGATGTGTTGCAGTGGGTGTGCACGTGACCTTGGCTTCAAGGTAAGCACATTAAATGAAGCAAATAGGAGAAAAGCAATATCCGCGTTCGCAAAAAGGGAAGCGGAATGACAAAGGGAAGAAAATACACTCAACCTGTCAGACCCATAAAAGGTGAGGTCAGCCATTTCTCGCAAAATATTCCGTGAGCACGCAAACGCAAACATGTTTTATTGACCCGTTATCCGCTTGATACGGGCTCCGCATTTCAGCTACCATTACGTAATCCCAATCCAAGCCTAGTACGGTTCGTGTATGCTGTGACGACAAGCCAGCTAAGACCTGCCCTGTGAGTGCAGAAACAGTCAGCATTAAAAGTTACACCTTCAGCAGTGCTTATCGTCAGCATCGTCGTGCGCACGTGTCCGGTCTAAATACTAGCAAGCAACGCTGAGGTCTACTAGGTCTCTATTCTCACTATTCAGTATATGTCATTACAGGCTAGCAAAAAGGGAGAAACATCTCAGCTATTACAACGCAATGCAAAAATATAAACGTAACGAAAAAGCGAGATACAAAACTATAAAAAAACCAAAAGACAGATAAACTAATGCATATTATGCTTCAAGAGTAAGATTGTTGTTGGAGGGAAAAGATAAGCGGGTTGGTGAGGGATAACTAAACTCACAACACTAATGCCATTGAGGTCGGCTCTTCGCAGTCTGCAAGGGTATCCAACCAAACTTATTCATCAACCTTCGGACCACAGCCCGGAGACACCCACGGACGCTAAACTCGAAGTGAGGGTCTTCATCCCTCTTGACCAAGTCATCGCTTAGCCCCCCTGCCTCTTCCATGGACACCTTCGATGCACAATCAAAGCACAACGCGGCAGTTGGTGTTCTGGCATGCGCAACAAGTGGAACAACCATGGATGGCTCGCGCCGAACGGTTCACTCGACCTTCCTGCACCAAATACGAGAGGTTGAACACGTTCAGTGCTCACGCTGGGTTCCCACCAGACATGAACTATGGCGCGAAGGCAGGGATGATCGAACGTAATCAGTCCCCCTGTGTCTGTCGATCTGATGGGTTACGTCTTGCAGCCATACAGGATGGTTGAACGGACGGCTGCATCGTAAACTCTGCCCTGCAGGGCAAGAGTGATGTTGCACCGGTGCCACATGTGGTAGAGATTGGTAAAAATGCCCCGAGATTTTGCTAAACGATTCGTGATGTCATCTCCGATTCCATGGGCGTTGATCTACCTGCAGAGATACTGGAGTTTTTGAATAACTTCCAGCTGATACCAAAAATGAGTCAGCGCAAGGGTGGGTCACTGCCAATCTTGAAGAAGCGCTTCGCATTTCGAGCGGGCAAAGTCTTAAACGATTGACAGCCGGAGCAGTTTGTCCGGCGCTGCTCGCCACGTTTGGGAGCTGTCACAGATAAGGGCAATATCGTTGGTGTACGCTAAATAAATAAGTAAATTGTATTTTAAAGGTGGACTTGGAGAAATTGTATTTTGCTTGACGATGCGTGAGTCCGTTCAACAAACGGGACAGAACAAACATTTTTATACCCTTTTCATGCTAGTGCATTAATAGTTTTTCAAAAACTAAAGGTGGACACGAAATTCAAATTTAAGTAACATAAACTAATCAAGATCGTTCTGCTGTTTTGCTAGCTGTTGTTGGAACAGGGATCTTCACAATCACATGACAGATGTTCGGGCCGAGAAAAAATAATATGAAATGAAAGGGGATGTGTGTGGCATCCTCACGGCCAATGTTCTGAGCCCTTTCTATTCGTTGTCTGCATCCGCTGTCGTGTCAGTAACCCGCTCACCCATTTATCGATTAGCTTAGTTTAGAATGGTGGACCAATGCGTTATATGTATGTATATAATCTCAACAGTCTAGCAACTAGACAAAGAGCCAACAAAACCATGGAGCCAGGGGAAGTCATCGCGTCATAATCATCGTGGCATAGTAGTTGAAAGTGAGCAACACACTTCAACTAATGTGCCGCAGGAAGAAAGGAACGTTTTGACAAAAAACAGAACAAACATTTTTAGTTTGCTTTTCACACGCTGATTATTCTCGTCTTTTGTCATCTTCAACGTTTAAAGTATTAAACATGTGAATCAGTACAATGATGTACACAATTCTTTCATTGATTCCGGTTGCACGTCATGTCTTCAAGAGTGTTAAGCCATTGGCACTCCTCATTTTGGGTCCCATCCTGGAAGATGTACAGGTCCAACAGCGGCTAGACACGACGTCAGCGATTTCATGTGCCGTCGCCAAGTGGTAGGCTGACCACCACGCGGTCGCCTCAAGCCAGGTCCTTGACGAGCGAATATAGCGCGATGAGCTAGATGTTCAAGTGCCATGAGTAGGACGTGACCAAGCCATCTCAACTGGCGCAGAAAAATCAGTTTGTTGAGGGAAATACGTTCCCTCAAGATGTGACTTGGAACATCATTAATGTTAACTCGATGTTGCCACCAGACACGAGCACTCCTCTTTAAGCAACCGTTATCGAAGGCAGAAAGACGACGCATGTCTTCCATGCGAATCGGCCAGCACTCGCTCCCATACAACAACAGTCAACGAACAGATGCGCTATAAACGCGGCTCTTTAGCGAGAATGACGTCGCGATGACGCCACACGTGCCTCAGATTGGCAAATGCTGATCGGGTTTTAGCGATGCAAAGCGAAACTGCTTTGCTGATAGTGTCATAAGCAGAAACATAGCTCCCAAGGTAGACGAAACTATCCACCTGTTCAGGTTGTGTACCTTCGAGAGTGAGCACGGAAGCAGCATATTACACGTCGATAGGGCGAAGCTCATGCCATACTTAGATGCTTCAACCGCCAAGAGATCCAGAATGAGTTAAATACCATAAGGATCGTCACCGAGTAAGGCGATATCATCAGCCTAATCTAAGTCGGTCACGCGCTCACCCGGTAGAAGCTCTAGGTCAAACTGTTGGAAACCATCTAGACCACTCGACAGAACGTCTTCGATTGCAAAATTAAAGAAGAATGGGGACATAGGATAGCTCTGTCGTATGCCGCTACTGACAGCGAATGAAGAGGAAAGCTAGCCATAGACCCTCACTATGCCGGATGTATGAAGATAAAGTGCCCGTAAGATAGCGGTATATTTCTCTGGCATCCCATTATTTAGCAAGCAACAATATAAAGCAGGTCGATCAACGGAGCCAAATACAGCATGTATGTCTAGGAATGCAACGATAGTAACCTGTGGTGAATGTAACGATGTTCGAGGAGTTGGCGGAGCGTGAATATTTGATCCACGCATCCGCGACCGAGACGGAAACCAGCTTGTTCTTCACGGTAGGATGATGCAAGTATTGGAATAGTCTACGAAGCAGAATGAATGCCAATAACTTGGAGATACCCGAAATAAGACTAATTCCGCGATGATTTACACATGGGACAAATCCGCTGCAACTGGCGTTTCACTAACCGTCTCGGGTATCCACTACCAAGCAATTGGTTCATTGCTTCTTTCCGGGCTACCTTCCTATCTTCTTCCACTGTGCACAGGGTCTGGGCTCTGTGAAACACAGATGAGGCGATTCCAGAATGCACATGCTTTGGGTGACCGGAACTGTAGTGGAGTACACCATCTGTGTCCGTCGACTTACGATATATTGTTGTTTTCAGACTACCCCCATTCCTGTGAACTAAGCAGTCAGGGAATGGCAATGTTCCATTGCCAGATTCCAATTCCATAGTGTGTTCAAGCGGTTTAGAAACTCGTCTTTCTTATCCCGTTTTATGATAACAAGGATGTCATCCACGTAGCGCCACCAAATTTTCGGTGAGCTACAAGAGTCAGTCAGCGCCTTCGTTTCAAAATCTTCCATGTATAAATTTGCCAATACATGAGATATTGGCGATCCCATGGCAAGTCCTAGTTCCTGAGTGTATAATCTAGATTGGAACGTGAAATAAGACATGTTAAGGCACAATTGCATTCCTTCCGTTATTTGGTCTACCGTAAGCTTCGTCCTCTCTCCCAGATTACTGTCCTCAGTTAGACGATGTTTCTCTATCTCCAAAGCGTCGCACATTGGCACGTTGGTAAAGAGCGAGCTAATGTCAACTGACCATCATTTCATCCGACTCAACCTCAAGGCTCAACACCTTTCTCGCAAAGTCATAAGAGTGCTTTAAGAACGTATTCGTTTGCCCTGTCAAGGGTTGCAATATGCTAGCCAAAAATCTAGCTAGTTCATGCGTCGGGGAACCTATGCCATCTACAATAGGTCGAATGGGTACATCGGGCTTATGTATCTTCGGTAAACCATACACTCTTGGTGGAAGAGATGATATTGGGTGTGTTGTACCATTTTCCGGGTCCTAGATGCTTCTTTACGTTCCTTAAGTAATTAGCAACCTCTGTCTTATTCTTATTCATCATTGACATGACGGACTTACCGTCGATAACCTTATATGGTCCCGTCACTAGGTGCGCCTCCATTTTATCCAAATGATCTGACTTGTTCATTGTCACAGTGGTTTGGTCTTTATCGGCTTTTGTGATAACAACGTTTGGATCTTCTTTTAGGGCAGTTAATGCGACAGGTTCCTCTGGTGCAAGATTCGGCTCCCCCGACTGCTGAAATTTTATAATGTTTACAAGCTCTGCACGAATATCTTCAGCCGTTGAAGCGAATAACTTCGTTAAAGCAGTCTCCAAACTAGGAATAACCACTTCGGCTCTTATCTCGGATTTATTGATAGCAAATATCAAACCCTTCTCCAGTAGTTTACGCTCTGTCTCACTCAACACTATCAGAATTATTCACTATGTTGCAATATCTTTGCTAGATACAGGCTTACAGTTGGATCGGTGTCTTTGCTACGTAAAGACATCAAATTGTGGAACTTAGGATTTGCCTTTCTTTTGTGGTCCTTACTTGCGTTGACTTAACATCTGAAGCTTTGTTGTAAAGCCTGTCATAGTCTGCAAACGTTACGATAGTCTGCAACTCTGAGCTCAGTCGATTTGCGTGGAGGCGAACTTCACGCGGGTGTCGAGTCGTAAGATAAATCCGTTGTTTCGAGAATGCTTTACTCGCGTTGAAAGCTATTTTGGCAGAAGTATAAGAGTTGTCCGGTGGTTTGACTACAAGGTTCTGGGATATGATGCTGTTTTTGAGACAATTGATGTTGAAAACGCGACGATTTTCCCAATTAGCTTCAAGGCCAATCAATCAAACGAATTCACTTGCCAGTTTTCGAACACGAGGTCCGTAAAGGCACTAAACATTTTGGAAAATACTATCGTAACGTCGTTAGCTGAATATAGTAAAAGAACCGGGCAGTTGATGTGACATGTGTGCTTATAGTTAAACATATGTACAAAGGCTGATAGATAATTATCGTGCTCGTAAGGGTTCAAATTGGTATACAGGTGCAGCGGTCTTCGTCTCCTTGGCCACAACTTTGTACCTACGAGCTGGGTTGCGCTGAAAATGAAGGAGGAAGTGCAAGCAGTTATCCGGATGCAAAACGAAAGAGGATGTAAAACCAAGAGGTAGAAATTGGTGATAAACGAAGTTAAGTGAGTACATGCGCACGGGACTCAAAAATAGTAAGGGCGTGTATATGCATTATCACCCATTGGCCCTGACATGCTGAAGTATCGAAACTCTCGAAATGAAACAAAATAATGAATCGATGGATCTGGAAATTGACAATGAACCATCATGAATACAGGAACCAGTCGCAAGTGCGCAATTCCATTTCCAGTTACAGAGCAGTGTCTTCTGGTTAGTTCGGCATGTGCTCGCTAACTTCACAGCCGAGGAATGATACGTCCATTACGTCTGTTGGTATACAGAGATGCAAGCAGTGTTGTACGACTACTAGCGTCTTGTAACCTTACGTAGGCTAAACTTGCACGGCTGAAGTGTCGCAGTACGAAGACGTCGCAGGAGATTGCCAATTGTGATTGGGTAAGACGGGATTTAAAACGTTCGCAACAGTGCTTGATGCTGCGGCCTGTTCGTTGTGTGTCAACTTGGTACGCATCTTCCCTCGAGTATGGTATAAGTGATGCGCGTGTTGAAGGAGTGTGGTCCGACTGCGAATCAAATGAGGTCCCCATCCTCGTCCCAGCCGCTCCTATTCCCTTAGATCAGAATTGTGTATGGGTCCTATGGATGGGGCTGTGGGTATTGCGACGTAAACCATGGTCACCCAGTGGCGGTTGGCAGTCACAGTGAAAGGCGGATCCAGCAGCGGATGCTGTCAGCTTTATGTCATGTTGACAAAGGTAATCGGCTTCGGTGGTAGTGAAAAGATAACCCACATGAGCCACACAAGCCTCGAGAGTAAATAGACACATGGAAGGGAAAGTAACCAGGGTCTCGGTGCAGTCGTGCGAGGCTACGCGTTTCGCTTCCAGATTCAGCTCACAAGTGCATACGTTTAGCGGTTAGGTCTCTTAAGACGTGCCGATTTTCTGCGCGCGCGCCACTATCAGCGAAAAGCATTCGTAATTTAAAATAGGAGAAGTGAAACAGCCAGTACGTTTATAACACCGACTCCGAAACAGCCCCACATATGCATTTAGCAGTCGTCTAGGCAACTAACATGAGAATAGGTCAAAACAATAATCACTATATCCGCCATTCTTCGTTATAACGATCAGGGATAAAAGTTGCTGATGAAATCAGTTGTAATAGCCTAAGAGCACCATCCGGTTGGTCATTATCATCATTCAACACTAGCCGAAGGTGGAAAACATACTACTACGCCATAATAAAAAAGTTAAGTGAAAAAGCAAGATACTAAATAATACAAAATACAAAAAAACAGGTACAATACTGCTAAGAAATATATCGTGCTTCAAGACAGAGATCGTGGTTGGAAGAGGAAGATAAGCAGGATGGGGAGGGAAAAGGAAACTTACAACACAAACGCCATTGTAACGTCAACAAGTGTGTCCAACCAGACGCGTTCATTGTCTTTCGGTCCAAAGCCCAGCGGTCGGGAGACACTAACCGACATCAATCTCAAAATGAGTTTTCATCCCTCTTGACCAAGTCATCCCTTGATCTCCAACATCTTCTTCCATCCACACACGCGGTCGCGCAAACAACGCACATCGTGGGTCGATATGTTGGTATGGGCAATGCGTATGTCAGTGAATCGCAGAGTGATTCACTAGTTTTTCCTGACCAAATACACGACGCCGAACGCGCTGACTGCTTATGAGGTGCTCCCAGCAAATATGAGCTAAATTGTGAAGGCAGCTAGGGTTGAATGTAACAAGCCACTTTATGTTTGTTAACCTGATGGGTACCGGAGCTGCGAACGGACGGCTGCACGGTAAACTATGCCGCTCTGTATTATTATTAGTAATTTCAACAGTCTGGTGAATAAATATAGAGCCAAGAAAAACCACGGAGATTAGCGAATAAGGAACAGAGTCGCCGCATCACAAGCATCGTGGCACAGTGGTTGAAGGTAAGCAATACACTTCAGCTACAGTGCCGCAAGAATCTTTAGACAAAAAATAGAACAAAACGTTTTTAGTTTGTTTTTAACACGCTGATTTTTCTCTTCTTTTGTCATTTTCAACGTTTAAAGTATTAAACCTGAGAATTAGTACAACTCTGTACACAATTCGCCCACGGGTTCCTGTTGCAAAGCATGTCTTCAAGCGTGTTGAGACACTGGCACTCCTTATTCTTGGGTCTCATCCAGGAAGACGTACGGGTCCAACGGCGGCTAGACGCGATGTCAGCGATTTCATGCGCTGCCGCCAAGTGGAAGGCTGAGCGCGATGCGGTCGTCTTCAGTCAGGTATTTGATGAGGGAATGGAGTATAACGCGATAGACGCTCAGGCGCCATGCGTAGGACGTGACCGAGCCATCTCAACTGGAGTAGCAAAACTAGTTTTTGAAGGGAATAACGTCGAGCATCATCACTGTGAATCCGATTCTGCCATCAAACACGAGCGATTCTCCTTAAGAAACCGTTGTAAAAGACAGAAAGATGACGCATGTCTTCTACGCGAATTGGCCAAGACTCGTTCCCATACAACAATACTGATCGAACACATGCGCTGTGAACATGACCCCTTAGCGAGAATGAAACGTCGCGATGATGCCACAAGTGCCTCAGACTGACAAACGCTGATCGGGCTTTAGCGATACGAAGAGAAACTTCTTTGCTGATAGTGCCGTCAGCAGAAACACAGCTCCCAAAGTAGACGAAACTATCTACCTGTCCAAGTTGTGCACCTTCGAGAGTGAACACGGGAGCAGGTGAAAGCCAATCCTTGAGCAGTATTTTACACTTCGATGAGGCGAAGCTCATGCCATACTTAGATGCTTCAATCGCCAAGTGATCCAGAATGAGTTAAACACCCTAAGGATCGTCACCAAGTAAGGCGATATCATCAGCCTAAACCAAGTCGGTCACGCGCTCACCCGGTAGAAGCTCCAGGCCAAACTGTTGGAAACCATCTAGACCACTCGACAGAATGTCTTCGGCTGCGAAGTTGAAGAGGAATGGGGAGATAGGGCAGCCCTGTCGCACACCGCTATTGACAACGAATGGGGGGGGGGGAAGCTTGCCATAGACACTCACTATGCCGGATGTATGAAGATAAAGTGCCCGTAAGATAGCGGTATATTTCTCTGGCACCCCGTTCTTTAGCAAGCAGCAATATAAAGCAGGTCGATCAACGGAGCCAAATGCAGTATGTATGTCTAGGAATGCAACGATAGTAACCTGTGGTGAATGTGACGATGTTCAAGGAGTTGGCGGAGCGTGAATATTTGATCCACGCATCCGCGACCGAGACGGAAAGCAGCTTGTTCTTCACGGTAGTATGATTCACGTACTGAGGATAGTCTACGAAGTAGAATGGATGCCAACAGCTTGGAGACAACCGAAATAAGACTAATCCCGCGATGATTTACACATGAATTGCGAGCGCCTTTCTTGAAAATCGGGACAATAAATGATCCGCCCAAAGAGGAAAGAACTTTCTCTTCATGCCAGATTTTTGCGAACAACGAGATCAGCTAGTTAACGATCGCCAAGCCGCCGTACCTGAACAGCTCTGGTGGAAGTTCGTCTAACCCGGTAGCCTTGAACCGCTTCAAGCGTCGAATGTCGACGCAGACTTCCGCTCCGTTGGGTGGATTCAGTGGGACGAGCCAGAGTAGACAGCAGGGTGAACTGCATGTACTGATAATCAGTGGAGGCCAATTGAATTGCGAGTGAAAGTGCTCGACCAAGTGGTCCATACGCCTCTGTTGGTTGGTGATCAGAGACTCATGAACCTCGCAAATAACCTCACTGACAGCAGGCATCATGAGGCCAGTGGACAGAATGAGTTGGAAAAGCTTGCAAGTGTTGCCAGAGAGGGTAGCGGTCTCTATCTTTAAGGCACGTTCAGACCAATATGCCTTGCGATCCATGCGTAGGCTTTGCTTGAGCAGTCGGTTGAGAGAACGGCACCGCTCGTTGCAATCTGATTCCACCGGGATATCTTTGCGGCTCTCGAACAGCTCCAGAGAGTGTGCAGATAAAAGAGTTTAAGGAGTATCCAGCTAGACTGCAGCTGGACTATCCGGAAATGGTCATCGCTTACAGTAAACAAGTCCAGTATTGCATTATGTCTTGCGGTGGATTGCAATTGTGTGCGTATGTCAGTGAAGAATGATAGCTCATCTGGACAGAGGAATCAGTTAATGTGCTTACACTAATCTTGCGGTGCTTCATTTTTCGGGACCCCCCAAAATATATGCAGATTTTTGTGCAGACCAGTGCATGATCTGAGTCAACGAAGGTGGACCAAAAACACCTTCAGTCCAGTACCCTGCCGCGCCATCTGAAGCTAATTGCAATGTGATCAATTTGAGACCACGGTTGTGTTGAAGGGGGACGCCACGTTGTGGAACGCTTCTTTGTACGCCTGAAGTCAGTGCTCGAGAGAAACCGACGGTTGTCTGCGCACAATGTGAGAAGTCTTTCTCCGTTATCAGAGCGGTTCTCATCGAGCGCGTGATGACCACCAAAGTGGCGTTCGTATGGCAACAAGCGGTCAACCCGTGCATTAAAATCCCCAGCAAGGATAACGACATCCGACTTTTTAGTATTAGTCAAGAGCTGTTGTAGATCTCGGTAGGATTCGTCCTTGACCGATTCGTCACTCCAGTCAGTTGGAGCGTACACGGAGATCACAAACAAGTTGTGTCTTCGCGGTGCCTGTTGATTCTACATGAACCCCGAAGCCGAACTGCACATAGTCGGCTGTTAATAGGGAACCAGTCCAGTAGTGCCGCCTCGGCCTTGTCACTTAGTGCTATACCTACACCAGCGGACCCACTGAGGCTGCTTCTGGATCTCCAGAAAGACGCAGGTGATATCTGGCTTCGTGGTCAGTGTGGGATGCAATGTAAGTACAGCGCTGGGGTCTTGCAATCGGGTTTCAGAAAGGCAGCA